AGTGAGACAGGTATTGCTGCCGGACTCGGCACCCCCGTTTAAATTTTGTGCAGACCCTGCCTGTCAAAGTTACATTTTATGAATCCCAACAACTATGTTCTTTTGAAAAAAAAAAGACGATTACATTAGGTGTCAATGAAAGTGAGACAGGTATTGCTGCCGGACTCGGCACCCCCGTTTAAATTTTGTGCAGACCCTGCCTGTCAAAGTTACATTTTATGAATCCCAACAACTATGTTTACATTTTCAGAAAGAATTATTTGTCTCCTTTTTACGGTTTGGCCGTGAGCTCGAGTTAAAAATAAAAATAAAGGTTATTTTTTACTGCTTCACGCACTCTAGCCAACTGACGCTGTCTCTAACTTTGAAGAAAAAGTGATTTCCACTCCTCCTTTGAGCGCTCATAGTTTAAAAATTTTACATGTTATGTAAAAACAGTTCCTGTGTTTTTGAGAGAGCAGAAGTTTTCCTCTGTTTTATAGTTTGAATCACATTTCTACGTGCAGGTATGAGAGAGCTGGGTGACTCAGAAAAAAGGTGAAATTTTGTGGGTTTTTAAAGAAAATTCCAATGCATTCCTAATGCATTATTTATTCCCAGTATTTTGGGAATAACTTTGGGAAAAATTGGAATTTTAACACCAAAAGTCATAGCACCTCTTTCCTGATCAAGACGCACGTTTTGATGTATATATTACCGGGGTTTTCTCAAATCTGCGGGACGAGTTACGCGCCAAAATTTGGCGGAAGAATACTAATAAGCCCGAAGGAATATTAATAGATGCCCCGAGGCACTCCTCTCAGCTATTCTAGCTGTAGAGGACTGCCTCGGAGCTGAGCATCTGTGGCACTAATAATAAATCATACTAAATAACCAAACACGTTCCTACCAGCATACAAACACACAGCTTTATATTTCTGATGAAAAGAATGCTTATGAATATTTCTGGTTTTGTGCGTACATAGAATTTGTCATCTGGCCACTGGACCTCACCTTTCGTGTGCTGCAGGATTCTCTGGATCAGAACAGGGTATTTGGTGATCCTCTGAGTCACCAACAAAATGCACTCTGGGATACTGAGCCTCCGCACAATGCTGCTGCTCATTGTCCTCTGCACAGACACACAGATACATACAGGTTATATCAGGTTAAAACAAGACAGCAGTAACAGGTCCCCTGACATCACACAGCTGACCTTGATGAAAGCCTGGAAGCGTTTGTCTTTGGCCTGCAGGTCCTTGTAGAGATTAACAGCTTCACTGTGACGACTGCAGAACTTCCCATAAACCTTCTTCATACGTTCAGCACTGCAGTCTGAAAACTGAAGAGAAGGAAACCACGTTCAAGATCTCCTGTGAATAGAGTTCCTCTATCAGCCATGAGGTCTCCTCTCAATGACAATGATAAAATGTTCTTGAAGTTTACTGAGCACAGTCATGCTCCCCAGAGGAGGAACCCTCCCCTTCTCAGTTAGTGTCAGTGACACAGCTCCACCTTTTACCACTTTCACACTCTCACTTCTCTGAACCTGTCCTTTGTGTGTATTTTAAAGACCACCTGACAACATATTCTCCCTGACTCCAGCAGTGTGTCTGAATTCAACCATGGTCCTGGGCAACTGCTGTGTTAATCTACCTGGTGGACCAGGACATCCCCAATGCGGCAGATGAGGAAGCTGCTGTTGTTGTGTCCTGGAGCTGATGAAGCTCTCTTCATCTCCAGGAGCCGGGTGAGGAAGTCTGTGTGTGTATACAACAAGTCGTCCAAGACGGGGAAGATCTACAGGAAACAATCATGAGACTTTAATGAAGATCATTGCTCTTATTAATGTGTCCTTCAGATGATTCGTACCTTGTCCAGAGTGTCAGTCTCCAGCTGGACCTCCCTCTGTAGGCCTTTGTAGTACACTTCAGACATGATTTTCAGTGTCCTCACATGGTGGAACTCAGTCTGGTACAACTCTGAGGAGAGACAGGACTCTTGGTCAGGGACATGATGGGAGCTTTCACACCTACTGCTGGTCTTCCTCCCACAATGAGTCAGTACATATTTTACCATAGATGACATCTTGTCTCTTGATTTCATCTTTCTTCAGTGTTCTCAGGAACTTCTTATCCACTGAGCTGCTCCAGGAGTCAGCCTCAAGATCTTTAATGTCACACTCAAATTCTCCCATCAGCTGACTGTCCATCATCTCAGTGCCTACACACACACACACACACACACACACACACACACACACACAAACAATTACTTAGAGCAGCACATTCAGGAATCTGCTTCATCAAACTAATGAGAGTGTGAGTGTTTGTTACCTTCATCAGTGAGAGACTCGGTCGAGGCGTTGACTTTACTCCCCTGATGAAGAGAGTCTGTGGACTGAGACAGAAACTTGAGGCCCCTCAGTGGAACATCATCTAATCTACAAGGAAAAAAAAAAACAAGAACATGGATGAGTTTCTGCAGATTTAGCCTCCAAGCAACCAGAATGTCACCAACACAAGCTACTCCACACTAAAAGGACACAAGAGGAAACCAGGATATGAAAATAACAGAAGAATGGTGGTGATGGTACAACATCATTCAGACTATGCACAGACTAAAACATACACTTAGGGCCTGATTTACTAAGATCCCAAATAAAGAGCGCTAAATTGCGTGCGCACACGGATAGATTGCGCACGCTGCCTGTTTGGGCCTTGCGAGTGATTTACTTAGATTAACAGCGCAGTTGACTACAGGCGCAAAAGTGATCGACCGGCCCTATTTAAATGAGGATTTTGCGCGAGTTAAGGGTGTTCACCGTGGCGAATGCAAACGAGCAGATCCAATTGGACCGGAATTGGAGGTGCTGGTACAAGAGGCAAACAAGCACATTTCTGAGTTATAGCAAAGGAATTTAACCGTTATTAGGAGGAACGCAATATGGGAGGCAATCTGTGACAAGGTTAATGCTGTGGGGGAAACCAAAAGAACACCGGATGAAATGAAGAAAAGGTGGCAAGACATTCGTAGAAGAACAAAGGAAAAAATCGCACAGAATAACAAATCGGCAAATAAAACAGGTGGGGGACCGGCGGAGGAGGACCCTCTGCCTCCAATTGAACAGCAGGTGCAGCTGACGTTCTGTGATGAGCAGATTACTGGGATACTGGGAATATTTTTAATTCATTCAGGTACACCACATAAGACATGAACGTGCGTCATGAACGTTCTTTAGCTGTGCAATGGAAAAGCGTAATTGCCAAAAGGGTTTTTTTGTTTGTGCGTTCCAGCATTGGCGCAGAAGTGTGTGCGTTTTCATTTGTTTTAAGTTTCAGGAAAAAATGACAGGAACTGGGCCGAACTAAATGTTTCCTATGTCTAAAAGAAAGTGGGCTTTAGTACATAAAAATGTGAGTTTTTGGTTTTGTCAAAATAGCACAAACAAGAAACACTTGACATTATGATGCAACATTTATTATTTAAGGATTTTCTGAACTCTGAACGAATGACTTTTTTGTTTTTTTCTTTTTCAAAGGACAATCATGGCATCGCCGGATAACCGATATGTCTCGATTATTTTTTCTTCTGCCATTCCAAAAAGAGTGACACGAACAGAAAAGATGCGTTCTCTCCGTTGCCTGTCGTGCCTACGCCGCCTCCTTGCAACAATGACCGCAGCCATCTGTGCGCACGGCTGTGCCAGGTAGCCTAAGACTTGACTCTCAAACGTGCTAAATATAGACGCAAAAATAATCAGCGCAATTAGTTTGAGGTTTGGTAAATCACATTGCGTGCGCAAAATGATTCTATTTGCATCTACTCCTCCCAATATTTTGCGCGTTCTGGCAGGCACGCCTATATTGCATATTCATGAAGGCAGAAGCGCAAAATGGATAGCGCGTGTTATTTTGCCCGACTGACAGACGCAATCCTCGGTGGGCCCGGTTGGTAGATCAGCATCAACATGTGTTTGCGCGTGCTGTCGCGTTTGCGCACGTTTTTACGCACGCAAAGCTTTAGTAAATCAGGCCCTTAGAGTGTGTGTGTGTGTGTGTACACACACACAGTACTGTGCAAAAGTTTTAGGCAGGTTAAAAAAAATGCTGTAAACTAAGAATGCTTTCAAAAATATAAAGTTTATTTTTATCAATTTGCAAAATGCAAAGTGAGCAACAAAAGAAAAATCTAAATCAAATTCATATTTGGTGTTACTACCCTTTGCCTTCAAACCACCATCAATTCTTATAGGTACACTTGCACAAAGTCAGGGATTTTGTAGGATTATAGTCAGGTGTATGATCAACCAATTATACCAAACAGGTGCTAATAATCATCAATTTCACATGTAGGTTGAAACGCAGTCATTAACTGAAACAGAAACAGCTGTGTAGAAGGTTTAAAACTCGGTGAGGAACAGCCAAAGTCTGCTAACAAGGTGAGGTTGTGGTATGTGGCTAACCCTCCGGCATGGAAACAAGGCCAAGCGACTCAACTATGCACGAAAACATAGGAACTGGGGTGCAGAAAAATGGCAGCAGGTGCTCTGGATTGATGAGTCAAAATTTGAAATAGTTGGCTATAGCAGAAGGCAGTTTGTTCGCAGAAGGGCTGGAGAGTGGTACAATAATAAGTATGTGCAGGCAAAAGTGAAGCATGGTGGAGGTTCCTTGCAAGTTTGGGGCTACATTTCTGCAAATGGAGTTGGAGATTTGGTCAGGATTAATGGTGTCCTCAATGCTGAGAAATATAGGCAGATACTTATCCATCATGCAATACCATCAGGGAGGCGTATGATTGGCCCCAAATTTATTCTGCAGTAGGACAACGACCCCAAACATACAGCCAATGTTATTAAGAAGTATCTTCAGCGTAAAGAAGAACAAGAAGTCCTGGAAGTGATGGTATGGCTCCTACAGAGCCCTGATCTCAACATCATCGAGTCTGTCTGGGATTACATGAAGAGACAGAAGGATTTGGGGAAGCCTACGTCCACAGAAGATCTGTGGTTAGTTCTCTAAGATGTTTGGAACAACCTACCAGCCGAGTTCCTTCAAAAACTGTGTGCAAATGTACCTAGAAGAATTGATGCTGTTTTGAAGGCAAAGGATGGTCTCTTATTACTATTATCACCTTCAATATATTTTGAAGGTGAATATCAAAAAAGTAAGATAGTGTGTGTGTGTGTGTGTGTGTGTGTCTCTTTCACATCTGAGTTTAAAGGCTAAGAGTTCATCAGTCTAATTAGCCATTTCAAAGTCAGCTTTGCCCATTTCTGCCCAGTAACTGTCAGTAGCACCTGCTGAGACACTGGTTGCTATAGCGACATGGCCACCGGGGGGGCACACACAATCCCCTCTGTCTCCTTAGGCAGACAACAGCTTTTAAGATGAACCTTGTGTTTGAAAATTGGATTACACAGGGAAAACAGGAGCTGTATGTCCTAAAAGTTCTACATGTGCACTTTTATTTTCATGTTCAGCTACATCTTCCGCATCATCTGTATCATCCGCACCCTCCTCATCCTCACAGGAATGCTGGTTCACGGTAACCATTCCTGACGACCAGCTTACTGTGATGTTTCCACGGAGACACCCCAGCTTCAGAGCTCAGTTTCACAAGGGAACTTTGGACAGCCCTCTCTGCACTTTGGGGAGATTTCCTCAAAAACCATAAAAGATATCAGAATGAGACTGAAACTAGGTGATACAAGACAAAAACTACATTTTTTATGGAAAAACAGTCAATGAAGGTTGGAAATGGTGGGATTTAAAAAGAGTCTGTCTGACTTTTTTGAGGAATATTTTCAGGAATGGCATTTAGAGTTTGCAGTTAGCTCCAGTTAGTGAGTGGAGCTATGTCTTAAGTAAGACAGCAGACATCACTGAAGATGTAATAAACATCACAATCCTCTACACTGAAGTTACAACAACACCACACTGAGTGAGCGAGAAAAGCTAGTGCTAACTGCTAAGCTTAAGTAACTAGCAGATCTGAACAGCATGTAAACAACTGCTGGTTTGGGAAAGTCGCTACAAGGAAAGAGCGACTGAGTGCTTGAGCAGAATTAATGTAAGTTTGAATGTACAGCAACATTAACTGTGTTCAGACAGAGCAGCAATAAACCTACCAGTAACAGAAACTGACTGGAAATGAGACACCACGTCAACATATGAACGGCATCAGTAGAAATAATCATAAATAAATAAAATATAAAATAAAATAATCGTAAAAATATTCTCAGATAAATATTAGCTCTACTGCTACACACACACACACACACACACACACTGACAGAAACACACAAACACCATCTCCTTGATTTGGATTAACCTTCAAAATAAAAGTCTCAACATGGTATGAGGAAATTATTGACTCTGTTGTACAAAACCTAATGCAATTTAAACTGCCAAACACAGAAGCATAGACAATTTCAAACAGAGTCTCAAAAAGGTAAGAGGTAAGGTAGGTATTAAAAGTTCGATCTTAGACTCAACTCAGGTATGAGAGCAACTCTAAGGTAAATCAACGTGATGTATTTGCGTGTACTTGTGTGTGCGTGTTGATGTGTGGTTCTTTGCATGTGTGCACATGTCTTTCTGTAATTGTGGGGCCAATTTTGGTTAATAACCATTACTGTGAGGTCATTTTGGCTGGTCCTGACAACTTCAAAGGGCTGTTTGAAGGTTAAGCTCACTCAGTTCCTAACACCATGCACACATACATTGAAAGACAAACAAAATCCATCACCACCATATAATTTATTAACTGTATGAAATTCACCTAAAAATTAGTCTCAACCAGGTAAAAAGAACTTACTGGAGGTTCTGTTGGGCAGCTCTACCGCCACACACACACACACACACACACACACACACACACACACACACACACACACACACACACACACGAAGTTCGTCTTATTCATCTTCCGTATTGAAATTTTGGCGCATAACTAGTCCCACAGCTTTGAGAAAAACCTTGATAACATATATATACTGTATATATGTCAATGCGTGCGGCTTGATTGGGGATGGTGTGCTATGACTTTTCTAAGCAATTAGAGAAAAAATGGCGAAGATTCCCATAGAGAATGAATTGGAAGATGTCTTCAAAACGACCAAACCCTCTTTGGAGCTCTCCTGCTGGGTCATACTTCAATGTAGAAAAATGGTTGAAAGGTTAAACGGGTCACAATACTTGAGATTATTTTTGGTTAAATCGGTATTTTGACAACTATTATGGTTTACATAAAATCCCAGTTTATGTGTTGTGTTTCAGGCTTTATAATGGGTGTGATTTGCATGAAATGTTCGGAGCTAGAGAAATGTTCGGAGCTAGAGTGGGTGACATCATGCTAGAGTGGGAGAAACTCTAGAACACTGAAAAAATTCTGTATAACTCATCCTTACAGCCACATATTTCAATCTTTACACATAACAGCTTCCTTGATAGTAGACAAATTTGTGCTGTTTCGTAGAAAGTGTCTACCTAAGCACAGAGACTAACAGAATTTAAATAGTGAGCCTCAAAGTGATGGGAGTAACCTCCACCGCTCCCACTGACTGCAATACAAATTCAGGAGCTGATTTCCAGAGAAAATCAGAACTGACCTTTTTTTGTAACTGGCTCCTGTGTCCGCATTTTTGGCTCTAGAAACACCAAGGCCACAAAATCTGTGCACAAAGATCTTGTGCCAATCATGGTTTGTTAATGGTTCTGATGGGAGTTAGTTCTTTTCAAAACTCGCAGCTGTTTGAGAGGCTAAAATCTCCCTCAGCTCTGTGTCAGGTCTTCCACTTTGCAGTTTGACATGGCTCCTTAAGAGACTCTTTGATCTTTGTGATGTTTACACACGCACGCACACACACACACACACACAGGCAGAAAGCTGTTTACAAGTTAGAGCTCATAGAGAGATTACAGTTCAGGAAGATGAATAAAACAAGTATGCAGAATAATATGTGCCGTCAATGATATTGCATTGCAGCCACATAATAACATTGAATAAACTGACTTTAGAGCTTTGGCCTTTTGGTCAGTTTTAGTTGATGGTTGTGATTTGGTTTTGGTCATTCACTGTCCTCTTGTTTAGAGCTGCTGCTTTCATCAAACACACAAATAAGATCAAATATGAGTTGTATATATAGATAAACAAATATTGATGTGAGCCAAGTTAGCATTAAAACATGTTTAACCATTGTGCTGAAGTCCTGAGGTAATGGATCAGTATGATGCTCAAACACACCTGGACAATCAGCCTTACATCACAGGTGTGTTACCTGGACTTCAAAACACTGCACTGTTTGTGTGTGTGTGTGTGTGTGTGTGTGTGTGTGTGTGTGTGTGGTCTCTCCTCACCCTGCTATGTTGCTGGTGGAGATGCTCTTGGCCAGGTTACTGTGTGGGTTGAAGATGCTGGGGTGTCTCCGTGGAAACATCACAGTAAGTTGGTCGTCAGGAATGGTGACAGTGGACCAGCATTCCCGTGACGATGAGGAGGATGCGGATGATACAGATGATGTTGAAGATGTTGCTGAACATGAACATCAAAGTGCACATTTAGAACTTTTAGGACATACAGATGTTTGACACTGTGCCTTCACTCTAACCAAACTGACTAATGTAATGGTGTACCTGTTCAAATTCATTATGAGATGACTGTCTGATCATCTGTCAGATTTGGCTGTAGTGACGTCATTTATTTATTTTTAAGTTATATTTTTGGTCATTTTATTTATCCGGACAGTACAGTGAGAGATGGACAGGAAATTCAGGGAGAAACATGCAGCAAAGGACCTGTGGGTCAGACTCGAAACCATGGCTGCTGCGGTTAGGACTAAGCCTTAATGGAACGAGCTCTACCACTTCATTATATCTTTTTAATGAAAACAATATGTGTGTGTGTGTTATGTGTGTGTGTTCTTACATTTACTCCTCATATTAACAGCTGACCCAGGAGCAGCTTCTGGCATCAGGTGCTGCTGCTGCTGGAGACAAACACAGGATCATTATGTAGAAGGTGAAACATTTGGTCTTTGACAGAGCAGGATGTGGACCGAGGTTTGAGGACTCATGTTGATCAGCAGTAACACAGACTCTTCTGCTGCTGTACTTAGTCCATGGGTCAGAGGCCAAAATTTCACTTGTCATTCTAGTCAAGGTGGCAAAGGTTACTTATAATTCTTTGAAAGGATCCATGTCTGTTGATGATATTTTAGTATGATAACTCTTTCTGAGCCACAGCTGTATTAGAGTTATCAGCTGTTGAAGTCAACTTCCCCCTTGGAAAAAAAAGCATTTTAGATGCTGGTGTATATCTTGGTTTAGGCTCATGTCCAGGATATTTGTGAATCTTTATGACAGATACAGAGTTAACTGGAGCTCTTCAAACTGTTAATCACACACATTTTTCCACAATTTTTGCCTAACTTTCTTTCTTTCTCTTAGTTCTGTGACATCAAGGAACATCAGAGACACAAAACACAAAAATTGGAATTCTCACAGAACTCCAATGATTCAGGAAATGTATAATATACCCATATTATTCCATTCAAAGGGGTGATTTTCAGCCTTATATTAGAAGGGCAGTTTTAAGGTCAGTTAGGTCACAAACTTGTCTTTATGCATTTCTTCCAATAGACCAGGGGTTTTCAAAGTGTGGGATAGTGGGCCTCCCCTAAGAGAACTCAAAAGCAGCCGTGCCCCCCCACTATTATCACTTTTATTACTGTTATTGATGTTGCTTTGTATGTTCCACGCAGGCTTAAAAAAAAGGTTTCAAGAATAAATGTCATACATATCTTTATTTTTTTTAAACATGTTTGTATGTTCTTGAACATATTTTTAAAACATTTTAAACATCTTTATCTGTGAATGTGCTCAAATATTTTTTTAAACACAATCTTTGTATGTTTTTAACATCTTTTTTTCCCATTTTAACACCTTTGTGTGTTTTTAAACATATTTTGAATACATTTAAACATCTTTTTGTTAAAAAAAACTTATTCACTTAAAAAAAAAAATTACAATTTACAATTTAACTTTTCAACTGATTTTTTTAAACACATTTTCACTCATCCGACGTTATCCCACATTAACGCTGAAACACTGCACACAACACATTTGCTCACCTCGATTTTAGTGGGAACAGTGAGTCTGTGTCTTTGATGCGCACAGGCGGTTGATGCAGGGATGCGCTGTAGAAAGGAATAAACGCAGATCATCCTCTACCCACAGCCGTGACCGGTACTTGCTTTTAATCGTTGTCAATGCGGAAAATCCACACTCACACTGGTAAGTGGAGGTGAAGGGGATGAACACTTTTACAGCCTTTTTGGTGAGGTGGAGGAACTCAGTCTCCACAGACAGCCAGAAGTGGGCAAGTGACACTTCACCCATCTTTTGTTTCAAGTCCATATTAGAGTTCAGCTCGACAAGAGCCTCCTCCTCTTGCAGGGTCAGTCCATCACGGGGTGTCACTGGGAAAGAGAACAGATTTCTCACCCATTGATTTGCCAAGGTCTCCTCTCTAAAATAGTCTCCAAACTGCTCACGCAACCCCTTCAAATGTGCAATGACCACCTGTTGTACACAGTTCAGTTGCAGTCCTGTTTGCTCCACAACATCCTCCAAGGTTGGGAACATTTCCACCAAGCCCCGTTCAACACGAGCACACCAGAGGTCCAACTTTTTCCTGAATGCAGAGACTTGATCGTGTGCCAAAAAGACATGGCACTCTTTGCCTTGCAGAGAAGTGTTCAGTGTGTTTATCCGGTCGAAGATATCAAACAGATATGCCAGCATTGCAACCCTCTTTGCGTCCTCCATATGCTTCACCAGTGGGGAGTCGATTTCGGCGAGGAAGAGGAGGACTTCCTTGCGCAAATCACACAAGCGGGTGAGGACCTTGCCCCGCGACAGCCACCGGACCTCGGAGTGCAGGAGCAGCTGATGGAAGTGAGCCCCCATCTCATTGCAGAGAATAGAGGAGAGACAAGCATTCATGGCTCGTGATTTAATTAGGTTTACAGTTTTTACTGCCTCATCCAGGACCATGCGCAGCTCTTTGGGCATCCTCTTGGTTGCCAAGGCCTGGCGATGGATAATACAGTGTGACCAAACAGCGGCGGATGCAACCGCTTGCACCTGTTTTACTAGACTGCTGTGGCGGCCTGTCATTGCCCTCGCACCATCAGTACATATTCCACAACAGCGGCTCCAGTCAATATGATGTTCCTGAATGAAGTCATTCAAAGCCCTGAAGATTTCTGCTGCTGTAGTGCGCGCCATCAGAGGATGGCAAAACAGAAACTCCTCCTGGGCACTGAGCTCTTTAATAAAGCGCACATACACCATTAGCTGTGCACAGTTAGCCACATCGGTGGACTCGTCCAGCTGAATGGAGAAGAAAGGGCTCTCACAGATAGTGTCCAGCACCTGCTCCTTCACATCAGCTGCCATGTCGGAGATGCGGCGCTGGATGGTGTTGTCAGACATCGGGATGGCATCCAGTTTGGCAGCAGCAGCAGCTTCGCCCATCATTACCGAACACATATCTTTGGCAGCAGGGAGGAGCAATGTCTCACCAATGTTGTGGGGTTTCCCCGCCTTCGTATGATGCCTCGGTTGCCTTGGTATTTACAGTACCAAATGTCTGGATGGCTTTCTTCTGTGACCACAATTCATTAAGCTTTCTATCAAAAAACTCCCACGGCTTGGTTGTTAAATTGTGGTCCTTAGTTTCAATGTGGCGCAGGTTAGCTAGCACCTCTTTGCAAATAACACACTGTGGCTGTCATGATTTGTTCTCCATACATACCTGCCTTCAGTTGTTTTCCACTNCACCTGCTCCTTCACATCAGCTGCCATGTCGGAGATGCGGCGCTGGATGGTGTTGTCAGACATCGGGATGGCATCCAGTTTGGCAGCAGCAGCAGCTTCGCCCATCATTACCGAACACATATCTTTGGCAGCAGGGAGGAGCAATGTCTCACCAATGTTGTGGGGTTTCCCCGCCTTCGTATGATGCCTCGGTTGCCTTGGTATTTACAGTACCAAATGTCTGGATGGCTTTCTTCTGTGACCACAATTCATTAAGCTTTCTATCAAAAAACTCCCACGGCTTGGTTGTTAAATTGTGGTCCTTAGTTTCAATGTGGCGCCGGTTAGCTAGCACCTCTTTGCAAATAACACACTGTGGCAGTGGCGCATCGTCAGGACCAATGCATTAAAAACCAAACCTTAAATAATCAGGGTCATACTTCCTCCGTTTATTGCTCGCCTCTGTGCCCACTCTGACTTTCACCTGAGGTACTAAAAATCGATCCATTTGCTGTAGTTAGCTAACCAGATGATACACTTTTTTTCCTTTCTTTTCGCGCCTCCCCTGAAGTCCTCTGGCGCCCCCCTGGGGGGGCGTGCCTCACACTTTGAAAACCGCTGCAATAGACAATGAAAATCCAGCATAATAAGTTATACAACAGTGAGTGAACAACTATGAACAACATTGACATTTGCATAAACTTGGTCAATGTGGGATATATTATCGTTAATGTTACTGGTATCCAGCTCTGTGTGCACTTAGATGGCGTTAACGAGGGTAACCAGGTCCTGAATCAACACACTGTCCATCAATGTATACTACTACTATTACTATCACAGTAATACCATCAGAATCATTACACTGTGTTACTCATCAAACTGATCATCTCATTCATCATCTCACCCCCTAAATTCAAAGTCAGGTTCGGGATCATCCGGTAGTTTTTGGTTACTGCAGGTCTGTAAACTGCACTTGTCTGTGTAGGTAAGTCCATTTGACAGGCACATGCAACTTGGCAACTTGCATGAACGCACACAGTTGCATGTTAGCAACTTCAAGACCACATCTGGTGCAGGTGGGGAGCACATCCAGTGAATAGCCAGCTTGCCATCAATGTCTGTCCATCCATACTGAGTAGGCTTTTGCACCAGGGGAGTAGCTTGCAGACAGCACTTCCAGATTGCTGCCTGATAGTTGGTTCGTTGAACATGCATGAAGAGATAGTCTCTACATGGCGGCAGTTGGCTGCACTCAACTTCTCCCCTTTTAGTGCAGAAGAGCTGGTAGGGCAGTTCATTTACATCACCAGTGCTGCTATTAGCAACATACATGCGACAGGTAAACTGCTCAATTTTCTGGAATAGCTCCTCACTCACATTCCATGACTTTCCCAGTTGACTGAAAGTCTCTTGGCAGGAAGTGTCCTTTCTGAGCATCTTCAGGGCATTCAGCTTCCCTCGACCAGCAAATGCACTGTCAGTGTCGCAGCCTGTGAAGGCATGTAAGCCAATTAGGCTGTCACATATGCTGTATCCAAGTGAGCTTACCAGTTTTCTGATGTCAATAAAACGTGTGCAGTTTTGTGTCCCACTTTTCTGGTCGATGGAACAGGCGATGTCTTTCTAGAAGCCAATACAACGCACCATGACATCAGTGTCCTCAGCTGTGATGATAACTGCCTTTGAGCCTGCATTAGCTGCATGCAATGCATGCAGGAGCAAACGGGTGCTGGCTTCTTTGTGCGTGGAGTGCAACTCTGCTACTTCCTCATACTTATCTTTGGTCAACTTTTAGCAGGTTTCCTCACAGGTCTAGTACAAGACCTTACCATGCAGCATCTCTCTGTATTGTGGGCCTTTCCACTCTTCCACCAGAAATTTGATGAGATTGGTCTTGTTGGAGGGACTGCAAAGGTATTTTCACCACTGCCTGACATGGTGTCCCCCTGCAAGGTTCTTGTACTGGAGTGTGGTGTCTGCGCCCCTTCCAGTGTGCCTATCGGTACCAGCCTCCTCTCTTCCCAGTGTTGGAGGGGGAGGTTTCCTGTCCGACAGTCCAGACCTTCATCCGCCGCTGCAGACGCAGCTGGGCCCAAGCACGAGCTACCCTCTTCCGCTCAGTGGGTCGCTATTCCACGACCGCCAACCGGCGCCA